TTAGCTGGCAAATCTGGCGTCGACCCGGCCTTCGGATCGATTGGCTTCGCGTGCACCTAAGTGGGCTTGCGATCCGTCAACTCCTACTGCGACGCCATCCCGCCGGGTCCGATCTCGATCGTCTGGTACCCCCAAGGAACGAGTGTTGGAAACCGCTGACGACGCTTCGTTAGCAAGTGTTGGGAATACTTATGTGCGTAGTGAGCAAAGATAATACCAAAGCTTCCAGAACTTTCTCGATAAGCTCGAATAGTCGTGAGTAGCTGTGTCCTACAAAATGGTGGGGAATTGTGTAACAGTAAGACAAAGGTGTATATTATACATACACACCTGCCACGACATTTGGGGTGTCTGGACTTTCGTAACATAGGGCTCACATGATCTTTGGTGTCACCGTACCTTAGGTACAATGTGTTCACATCGGGACAGGGAGCCAAGTGAAATTAGTACTTGATTAAGTATCATAGATCTCACTGTATAAATAATAAGAAGTCCAGCAAAACATATTGGCTACCAGAAAGGTGCTTATAAAAAGTACGGCTAGAAGATAAGGCTATATAAATCAGTATTATACCTGCACTGGTAAGCATTTATTGGTTGAAGCATTGTTCCTCTGGAAAAGAAGAGTATTTGTGATACTGGTCTTGTAGAGAAGCTGTGTGTACAACCAAGAAGGCATTAGCTCGTAAAGCTAGCCTTGAAAGGTTTGAGAACTTGTAAAAACGTATAGCTCGTAGATCTTGTCTTTCTCTGAGTTTGTGCATATATAGTATCTTTTCTACGTCAGCTCGATTCATCTCGTAAGCTTTGAGCATTCTCATCTAATTAGCCCGATTGTGAAAAGCCCATAAATGTATTGAGTATTAGCACCTATCTCTCACATTTTTATCAAATAATAAGCAAATTGTACCATTCAGTGGTGGCAGTCGGCAAGGATAGTAACGATGTGGTGGCCACATTTCATAGGCAAAGGCATTAACAAGGCATTGATCGATGACTTGCGTTCATAGGGAGCGCTAAGTAGCACAATTTGATTATGACGAATGTTAGCAACGCCTTCTTGCCACGCGTTCAAGTGGAATACTTGCCTTTGCATTGATCTCGACTGAAAGCTACGTCAAGTACACAAGAGCCTAAGTCTTATTGCTACATCACTGCACCAAATTGGTCAAGACCGCTTGGTCAGTGTGTCGATTCCTATTCCAAAACTCCCCACATTTTTAAATTGTGCACATCTTTCTGATTCTCCTACCTGGCTACCCCTTTCTGGCTTGTATTCAGCAAGACATTGACTTTTTTGCACGCCAAGCAATTTAGCTTTGCGTCATTGGGCTCATAACCTAAAGTACAAGCTTAATGAGTTTCGGATTTGGCATAATGCAAAGTGAATATGTTGTTGTCGGTCTTTAGTTCACAACAGTATCTGGCTACTCAAATTCTATAGAAGCTTTTAGTACCTATTAGAAGCTTTTTATCCAACCTGACCATGGTCTTGACCGCAATTAACCATCGCGTAATCGCAGTGACACCATTGTCATAGCGTCATCGATTAAACTGGTATATACCATCTTCTTTATTGTCCACCGCAGCTAGTCGCGACGTCTCTTTTCCAGTCAACTCCCACTTGGATTGACAGCTGCTACCTCTTACATTTGAAGATTAATTCCAACAACTTCAAATTGCGCTGCGACAATCGGTTTTGTCATGATATCTGCTAGCATTTATTGATTCGGACAGTGCTTCAGTATCGCTTGGTCGTCTTCCACCTTTCTGCATACGAAGTGAAACCAAATATCAATATGCTTAGTCTTTTTGTGGAACTCGTAATTCTTTACTAACGCTGAGAGCTTTGATTGCTCTCGTTGATCAAGACTGTCTCATGGCTTGTCATTCCACCGAGCTAACACCAAAACACATTTAGCCATATGGTTTCTTGCGTTACCTCCGGCAGCGCCATGTGATTGTCCTTTCGTTGAAGATTGCGCAGCAGTGAGCAGTTTCTTACTTCTTCTGCTGATACTTCCAAGATAAATTACGAATGCGTAGCCACTCGTGCTACTTCGTACCACCTCTTACTAAAATAATAGAATGTTCTTACCTACTGGTTGTAATAATTTTTTTACTTCCTTTTTCACTTGAATATTATTTAGAGACCTTAGCAATACGGCACCCATAGATAATACATAATGAAAATGTCCAACAATATGATATGTACAAAGTCCAGTAACATATTCACCGCAACATGCTGTTTTGCGATTACTAGCGATTCCAACTTCATAGGGGCGAGTTTCAGCCCCTAAAGTCAGCAAACTTGGCAGCTACTTCCGGCTGCTTTTGTATTAGGTACTGCATGCACAAGTGAGACTTGTCGCCGATGAACGTGACGAAGTAACGCTTTTTACTAAACGTTTGCGTCTCACATATATTGCTGTAAATATCCAATAATTGCTTCGCGCACTTACTGGTGATCTTAGGAAGCTCATTCGCGTTTTTGCTTGCCAAGTGAACACCTGTCACACACCTCGCACAGCTATACTGACGCAATGTCAACGCCAATGCCATATTCCTTTTTATATATCATCAAGACCACCATGACCAATGTGCCCATGCCTAAGGTGCCAGAGGTACAAAGTGGTGTCACTACGCCATCCCACGATCTTTTTACATTGGCCTCGTCCAACACGATTGGTGTCATGCATATCATAAATATCCGTTTGCCTTCGCGGTCGCCGAGCTTCCACTTGAAACCCGTAGCTTCTGCAAAGCATTATTCGCTTTCAAAAGTCACAACTCCAATGTCCTAGGTAAAACGATTAGCTGGTAACAGATTTTGCGAAAGCTTAGGGATATACCACACACCGGCGAGTACATCCTACCTTCTGCATTGACATCACAATGTCGCCCGTTCCTACGGCTTAAACAGCTCCGTCATCAGCAAGATTACATTCACCGGAGAGATTGCCTTGTGATTCGTCAAGTACTATATGAGTAGGTCATGTGTCGAGTCGCTATCGAATCGATCGGCCACACGCCACTCGACGTGATAATTGAATCACCAACCAAAAAAGAATTTCACCGAAGCTGTCTTATGTTGTGCGATGTTTGCTCGCTGCGACCTCTGTCGCTCCGCATTCTGGCGGAGTTTTACCGGGCACTCAGCAGCCAATGCCCTTGTTCGCCGCAGAAGTGACAGGGATTGATATTCTGTGGCCGACCTTACTTGCGCTTAAAGTTGTCGTTTGCCATGTTTGCTTGACCTTGACCGTGCGCTGATCCGTCGACACCGCCACCTTGCTCATTTCGGATCATGTATTTGAGACATCACAAGCTTTCACGTTTGTGAATCAGCTCATTATGCCAGCGCCGTGGTCAGGAACACATACATATTGCTGATATTGCCGAGAAACGCGATAACTATGTCGTCTTCGCTGGCCAAAGCGCCCACCGCGTCCAGATGTTCCACCAGGGTCTTCATCTTGTTGATGTGCTGCAATACATCATCACCTTTGTCCATATTGCGGTAAAGAAGCGTCGACACAGGAAGAGCGTATTTGCTAAACTCATCTTCTCAAAGTGTTCCTCTAGCCACGACCATGCATCTTGTGCTTCATTTGCCGACCGAAACAGAGGCAGCTGCGAATCCTCCATCGCGATACAGATGATCGCTAGCGCCTTGCAAGATTTGCGCTTGTACGTAGACTGGTCCAACAGTAGTCACACAATGCTCCATCTTAATCTTCTCGCTTGTCCCCTCCTAAAGATCCCTCTTCTCCAGTACCATCTTCATCTTAAGGTTCCACGTAAGAAGTTCGCTTTCTAAAATTTGTTGATGAGAGAGGCGGTTGTACAAAAGCAACGTCCATGACAAGCGCTTAATCGGCGTCGGGGGCAGAGAAGGCGGAAGGGTTTGGGCTCGGAACCTTTTGCTACACCTTTGCACCAAAATGGTTAAGACCATTTGGTCAACGTGTCAATTGCTATTCCAACAAGTAAGTACGCATGTATTACTGTTGCTACCAGGATACTTATTCCTAAGGTGTTGTGCTGCAGCATCGTGAGCGAAGCTTATATTCAGGATATGTTTCAGGTGATCATCTTTGCACCTGGATTTGCTCCGCCACATTGAAGTTAGGCGGCACCGAGGCAGACTAAATAAGTTCTTGCCACGAGAAGTGCGCGCTCCTCGGACGTTTCGATGGTCGACGGTCTTCAAATAACCGCACTCAAAAACTTCCAATTGGTGTCATTTTCACCATGTCACGCGCATCTTTGTGGTGTGCTGAAACCTCCATTCTCTTCAGAAAAGGATGGATTGTGTTAGGCTGGAGGTTTTGCTTAACGTGGAGAGCGCAATTCTCATGGTGGAGCCTAAGTACATCTGTCGTGAAGCATACTCCAATGAAGCATGCTCAGTCCAGTGATGCTTACACACCGCCTGTTATTCTTCGGTTACTGAAAGTACGACTAAAGCTCTAGCGCTGAGGGGTCACGCCTCAGAGTAAGCCTACCACCCTTTCGATCTCGCCAGCCTGTGCACGCATTCCCGCTCAGCTTTCGCTTTACCTCTTGTCTCAATTTATTGGTCTTGCAAACATAGGTGCAAAGAAAGAGTTATGATCGTGGTCCATGTGACCATTCATATATGTTTGCTTGCATGAAGTTGAATGCGCTACAAGCCCCGACATCGATCTCATAGTAAAACTAAAAAGACCAGTCGCAACAATGGAGACTATTTCTAGATTTAGAGGATCGTCTGGTGCTACGCTACCAAATATTCATTTAATGCATCCGTGAGATTGATACAAAGCCTCCAACGTATGCGATACGTTATGCACACGGTATAGGAAAGCCACATAGCAAGTCATAAGCTTGTTACAGAAGTTAAGTGTTTTGACATGTATGGCAATTGCAAATAAACTACCCTAGAAATGACCCGTCTCACTGCATTTGCTGCTACTGCTACAGACGTGAGGATATGTGCACCACACAAAATACTAGCAATGGTAGCAGCATCTCGACGTGTAGGCTCTACGAGTCATGTATGGGGCTATGTGATCGTATTAATAGCAAGTTGTGCCTTTATTTTCTCCATGTAATACTTCCAATTGATGATAACTCTCGTCACTGTGGACAATGTCTTGTATTTAACGCTCTACATTGTTCCCTTTTTGCAGGTACGTGATGGTTTTCTCCAAGCTTCTCCTACTGCTGTCAGAGGTCTTTGTACCAGCAGCTCAGGAAACTGATCATTTGGCGACAAGCCGAAGCTCAGAACAAGAAGCAGAGAGATTCAGTCTGTTGCTTGCTGTCTCAAAAGACGTGTACTACTGTTATCTAGTGCCACTTACAATTCCCGTGACCATGTTCGCCTGTTATACCAATTGGGTCAGTCTCAAGTTCTTCCGCCATAATTAACTATCTCAAGTCGGTAATGGAAGAACCATAGAGTCAATGGTCCAACTCAAAGACATCAGCATATAACCAGCTCACTACAACGTCTCACTTTTGCTACCAGCTTTTTCTTCTTCTTCATCATCATCATCTAAGACTTTGATGTGATCGATACAGTTGCTGCAGCTTTCTGCTTTTGCTTTTCGTGTTCGCGCACCTTTCGTGCTAAAAGCTTCAAAAATGCCGCTTGCTTCGGGTTGGCACGCACACTGGCCAGTGTCCATCCGCCTTTGTTCGTCTGCTTTACAGCGGCTTGGGATAGCTTCACGTAGCGGTTGAACGCGCTACTATGTTCCGGGAACTTTGCCACGCACGCACCGATCTCGCTCGGGAACAGATTGAAACCTACCACCACGCGTTTCATAGGAAGCTTCAAAGGTGATGCTGCAGCCGGGAGTGAGCGTACACGTCCACTAAAGTGCGGAAGCTCTCCGTCACACAAGATTCCTCGTCGATACTGATACGACACTTGTTTCCATCCTACCTCCGTCTCACTCTGTTGCTCGAGCTCGTCTGTAGTCAGTCGATGTGGCTGTTTACGCGTCTTGTAGCCATATTTGTCATAGTGTTGCAAGCCTGTAAGGTTCACGTGAAAGTTTCCACCTTCCATTAAACTCGTCTTCTGTCCTTCATCAGTGACAATCTCATCACTAATGTCACTATGTAGTCGACTCACGTGCAACGTGGCACCGTAAATCGGAGGGAAAACTACGTTTGACTCGTATCGGACCTGTTCAGCATAATCTAAATGGTATTTCGTCTCATCATTACAGTCGGATGAAATCACCCATACAGCAACACCATGCGTACGTTCCCAATCATTCTGGGTAATCCATTGTCCAGTCTTTTCAAGTAGAAATTCCTGTACAGTTTGTCGAGCTAAAGCATGACGATAAGCATCGGGTTCTAGTGTTTCATCAAAGTCCGACACCCTTTCAATTCGATTGTGACTGTTCATATGTTGTATACATTCAGACATGGACACGTACACGCCCCACACTGTTGCTTTCACAGCACTAGCATACAATAGATCAGCAGTCTCTTTTGATACTGCTATATCAATGATTGTACAAATTCCAGGATGGTCTCGTGGAAAATCACGTATGATTTTTCCAGAACGACCGTTACAGCCTGATGGAGTAAACCCATCGTTTAATGGGCTTATGTGAATACGATCGGGAATAATAGTTCCATTCACGTTTTGGTCATTGATTAGCCAGTCAGGTAATAAATCGGAAGGTCTTGTCATGTGAGACCAAGTGTTTTCAAAAAATAGTATAAGTGAGAAATAAATATGAAGTAGGCAGCTCGAAAACTAGTCATTACTATTTATCGAAAAAGTATGTATGAGCTCTATTATTTCTCGACAATCTTATTCTGTTAATATTACTTTTTGAGACCTTATTACAACAAATCACGTCTGGAAATGTTTGCATCATTACTAAAACCAACCCATTGGTGACAAGAATGACGAATGCATGAGTGTAGTGGTGTTGTTCCATTCGATTGTAGTAAGCATGATAAAGGAGGCAAAAGTACTCGAAGGATGAGAATTTTCTTGATGAATCGAATGTCCTGGTATTGATTATTGACGTCAACCTCCCACTAAAGCACAACTTTGTCAATCTTGATTGCGTCCGTTTACCACGTAAATGCACCGTTAGGTAGGATGCATATGACTAGAGTAAGCATCTAGACTAATATTTGTATCGACCTTGTATCCACACTACGTCTATAAATGCACACCTTGCTTTTTCCGTTCGCTGTAGACCCGCAGTTTGTCACCAAAAGAACCTGTTCCATTAATCAGTTGTAGCAACACCGCTCACGTACGAAAGAAAATGTCGTTACGCCTGCTTCATCACGCAAATGACCAACCACATTATAATGGAACGAACGCCACACCGTTGCAAAAATGCAGAACAGGATAGCGACGTCGAGCGTTTGTAGACTTCATGCTAACATAAGACTATGCCGTCGCGCGTGTCCGCTTTCTGGCGATGCCAGGGCTCCCATTGGCTCATGGGCAACGCCAAGGCTCTAGTGCGGGCAAATGGACCGGTGACGATACTTTGCTTCAGAAACATTCATTCTAACTGTAAAGATTGATGCATCATCCGCCGTTTCGATTGGATGCACCGTCTTGAGATTGCAGTCAGGAAAGACCATCATGTTAAATTGCAGTTGCTTACCTTAATACTTTATCATACTAAAGCACGACATCATCAAATAAGTCAAGCTAGTGTTTCTTACTCAAATGAACGTCTGAGTCGTCTACTGTGCGTGCCTCAAAAGCCAGCGCTATCGTTCAGACTGATAATGAGATACTCAAACAGGTTTGTTAGCTGTTTTTTGCTGTTGCTGGCTCAACAGATCATATTGAAGCTGCGCCAAAAAGCATCGCCAGGTCGTGGCGCAGCTTGTTCTTCCAGTTGACAGAGTAGCGCAACCTCGCGGGCGTAGAGGCATATCTGGTGGCCATGATATATACAACGCGTCAGCACTTCCGTCCATCCTACCGCTTAGGCCAGGAGGACCAAAGCGGTATTCGTATGCTACGATGTGGCGCGTCAATGGAGTATGTATTAAAGCGTGTCTATGTAACCTTGCTGAAAGAAGAGACTTTCGTCATTTTGTCTACTCCAAGCTGAGCCATTTGGCGCATGGTAGTGACGTTACCAGCCTAGATCCGTATTGCACGGTTTTCCTTCAGACATGATAGATACAGATAGCACGAAAAGTCTGCTCGAGGTTCTTGCTGAGATACAGCTAAACAATTGGCGTCTTTGTCATTGGCTTCACTCATCCTATGGCTGAAGAGTTCTTGTACCAGGCTAAGAATCATGTGAAGCCAGAACACCTTTTGATCCAATCCCAATGATGTGACTGCTTTAGCCTGTAGAATTCGGAGCACTTCGTTATGGTGTGATGCCGTCGTTAATTGTGCAGTGTAGCTCGCGGTCCAAAAGCTAAAACGTTACAACGACGCTGTTAGCCTGCCTTCTTGTATGTACTATGCTTACTCAGCCAAAGGGTTGTTCCTTGCGTTACGCTTTTATCACACTGCATCACCGTGATCATTGGGCAGTACACATTCTCGAGATGATGCGTACAGAGTATGCTCCTGGTCCGAGTCATGAGAGATTGTCATGACTACGACGATCAAATTTGAGTCGGCTAAGCGTAAAGCTACGTGTAATGTAGCTTTAAGTTTTCGTCCATCGTCAACATGGGTCTCGTTTTTAAACTTGAAAGGTGTTATTTGATTTGCAAGTTTCCGGTTTTCGGTTTTTTCTTTGTTCAAGAATTTGATTTCTACTATAGGTTTGTAGTGAACATTTGTCGATAAAAGGATTGTCAACTATGGTATCGACACCATTATTCTGAATCATTTGATTCTTGCCAAAAACGTCACCACTCCGACTTCTGAAGTCGACAAACGAGCTATTCTATTCACTTCAATATGCTCATCCTGCTCACGCCTGCCGGTAGCTTAAAGGCCTCATTAAAGTCGAGGTAGGTGGCGCTTCTGACACATCTCTTCGGTGCGGACCTCTACCGTGCTGGAATATTGCACTACGCGTGGTGATGATGTAGTTAGCACGACTTCATTATTCAAACGTCTATCCCACATTAAGTTGTGTAGGTTTTCGTACACATGATACATGTGATGCACAGTAAAACAAACGACACAAGCGACATCAAGAAATCTAGCATTCCAGCAACAAGAACATCGAAACTATGTTGACCTTCCGTAACAAGTATCGTAGTCCGTCGCAAGCAATCTACAGCATGTAATGTAATTAGTAGCATGTTGACATCCTTTTGCGTGCAACCATCAAAGCCACGTCTCGAAAGTTCGCAGCGCAACACGATTCACTTGTATTTGCGCAAACATTTGCGAGTTTTTACCCGCAAATGTCTGGTGCATGTACCGAAAGTGTGCGGTTTTTCTTGCAAAGTGAGCCAGATTCAAACACACAGAATTATGTTGACCAAACTGTGATTCTTTACCGGAGCTATTCGTTGCAAAATTTCAACAACGAAGCACCTCGATTGTAGATACCGGTGCCGTACAATTGTCTGGATTTCCAAATTTTGAGGCTTCGTCCAATCAGGCTACTTCGAAAGGTAGATGCCATCTCCAGGGCTGTTGGTGCTTCTCGTCCTCACATAACATGAAGCTCAGAAGCCATTGTTCCACAAAAAAGAGAAATATTAAGACACTACCATGAATCGTACGAATACAACTAGTGATCAACAAGATGAGGATACGCCACCTTTATCCAACATGACTGACGTCCATGTCGCGTGGCTCAGCGCTGGTGCCAATGACGACGTGGCTTCGATGCGCCAGCTAAAAAGTCAATTTCCGGAATGGCTTGGATTGCAGCGGGTACTGTACGATTTGGTTCTTCCAACGGGGTTGCAGAGAACCGCTTATCGCTAACGTTGGTCCTCTTATTCTGCAGGTCGTAGGCGATGAAACGTCGAGCTTGGCGTCTCGACATCGTTCCTACAGCTGGACGGAATTTCACTTGGATACGATCGGTGCATCGGCGCTCCACACTTCGGCCTGGAATGGAGAGCTCAATACCATGTAGTTTTTGCTGGAACTGGGTCAGAACCCCGACACATTCGGCAATGGCAACGTGACCCCCATAATGGTGGCTATCCTGCGTTTCACACTCATGACTATGCGGTGCATGATCCGCAACGGAGAGGCAATTAAACATAATATTATTTGTGACGTACGTATCCTAACACGAAACGGATTGTACTATCGTGTTGTATTGACGACATTATGTGCGGTTATCGCATTATTACAGTGAAAGAGCAACAGAGGCAGGTGGTCGGGGTGATTAATCTACTGCTCAAGTTTGGGGCTGACATCAATGCTCGCACACAGGTACAACTAACTGACTGAGTCGTGTCGGACTTCAGTAACCTGACCCAATGTAATACGACTGCATTTTACCGGTAGGATGGCAAAACGGCATTACATTTGTCGACTAGTGACGACACATACGAAGTAGCTCTTATATTGCTGGATGCAGGTGCATTTATAGACATTCAAGACGAGGTTTGTTTCAACGTCGATGTACATATCGAATAATTATTAATATGTCGGATACTACTAACCACATCATTGCGGCTCGCTGTTTCTTTTGCATCTTGTATCAGAATGGCAAGACACCACTGCACTATTGTGTTCACGAAAAAGGATTGCTTGTCACCAATCTGCTATTGTCACGAGGTGCAAATATTGATGTCCAAGACGTGGACGGACTTTCAGTGTTGGACCTTGTTGTACAACGAGCAGATTTGAACCTACTACAGCTGTTTTTGAACAATCATCAGTTGGTAGCAACTCCAGAACGACACGATTTTGCAGGTTTCGTACTGCTGCATGCAGTCGAGGTTGACGTGAAGAATGTCGTGCGTTTCATTGTGGATAATGGATACGCATTAGTTACTGTACGTGAACGCAAAGGGTGAAAACCCGTTGCACCGAGCTATTTTGCGACGCAATTCTATATAATATTTATTAAAAATAAATTAATATCAATATATTTTATTTTTAAAAATATATTAAATTTTTTTTATTTTTTCAAATTTAGTGGAATTACTGCTAAACTTAGATGGAGGCGGTGACAACATGACAGCAACCATGGAGCTATCAGAAACCCCCGTACATTACGTCTCCCGATATGGTTCTACTCGGGAAGTAGAGACCTTACTACAGGGTCTACATAGTGTGTTTGGAAACTTGCAAGGGCTTCCAGAGCTCAACGCCGAGAATCCTCTGCACATCGAGAATGCACGAGGCATGACAAGTCTTTATATTGCAAGCACTTGTGTCAATGATATTGATCTAAAGACTGAAGGCGCTACAACAGCAGTCCGTGATGCTAACGTGCAACTGTTATTGGACCATGGAGCTTTGTTGTTTGCCCCCGATGTCTTATCTCTGCAATTTGATCGTGGGAATGCGCGCAATGCACACCTGCTTTTTCCTGTCCAAATACAGCGCTGTCTACTGATGTGGTTACTAGACGCTTGAGTTGCGACCATGAAGACGACAATGGCCAAGGTGTTGATCGCTCAATGGAAGCACTAACTAAATTCTGCATGCAGTGGATCGCAAGTATTGCCATTTGTGGATGTTCGCTAACTCTAGTGTCAATTGTGGCGTGTGCTGGTTACGGGCATGAATTGCTTCCGATGCTTGTGGAATAGCCACTGCGTTGTCACGATATGACAAAGCGGTTGGATCAACTGAGAAAGAATGCAATGTATGGTTGTGGTCACGTTCTTCTGTTCGAGCTGTACAAAGAAATGCTCAACGCTTGGACTGCAGGACAGTAAGTTGAATCTAGATCTTGTCCGGGCATCTCCGCTGTTTTTTTCTCAGTGAAAGCTTGCGGCTTTCTCCAGACGAATGAAAAATCACATCGAGGTGCGACTGGACAAAATGACAAACCTTTCAACTGATCGAGCGTGTCACGTATTAGCTTGCGATGCGAAAGGGCTTGGCGGAGATAACATGGATGTGAACCACGGTAGAACAACTCCAGCTCATGGTGCAGTAGATTCAACCGTTGTCACAAAGCGCTTTCTCTTGCGCCAATCTTCCAGTGCTTGTAAGTGAGCTTGTTTTTGACTCACGCCTGCTATGACTATGGATAGCCAGCCAACTATAGCATACAGCTACACCAGCAATGCCACTGACCTATAAATTCCACGATGTTCACATTCGGTTGCTGACAGTAATCGAAAAACATCAGGTCCAACAACACATACGTCTACATCCGCATATATATATTATCTTTGCCCCACCACAAGATTGGAGTAGTGTTCAAGCCTCTATTACATCGGTGTTATGACGCGCAATGTACCGGACACGTTTCAGCTACGAACGATGGTACTAAAGCTTGATGTTCAACGAGTTCACACATTAGTCAGGCTCAAAAGATCATTCAAGCCAGGCTGACCCGCCACTTTGTCGTCCTTCAAACGTGCCAACACGCACAAGAGTGGTCGGAAGGTGAATGCAATGCAGAGCTTGATGCGGGCGCACGCGTTGCAACACGCTTGGATACTGTCAACCCCTAGGGACACGATCACATCGAGATTCAGCAACTGAGACCCATGTGCAGCTTGAGCACCTCCTTCTTGACCGATGTGGTTGCACTGTGAAGCGTACTTCGGTGACCCAGCGATACCTTCGTAAGGCTTCAAACGGTAAGTTCGTGTCGACGCAGCGGAAGGATTTGTCTCGTGCGTCGGAGATGTCCAGGTCGTAGCATCATCCATTTCGGTCGGTTCCGGTATGGCTCTCAAGCTACGAGTGTTGGTGATTTCGACAGATTCCGGCAACGAGTAGATAGTATCCTCCTGCTGCGTGGAGAGCAGGGTATTGGCGGACGCAAGGCTTGCGGCGAGAATGCCGGCTAACATCAAGTTTTTCGAGAACATCGTCGATGGGAAAAGTAGGTCAATGTTATTGCCAAAGAGTAAAATGAGGAATGAACATTGTAGCGCAAGAATACAAGGAGGCTGTCAGGTGCTGGAGCAGAATCGAGCAGAGAGCTTTCAGATGTCATTCGTACGTTTCAACGCTTTGGAACAAATGCGAGACAGTGGAACTCAAACTACCACCAATTCGAATCACACGCACGAGAATCAAAAGTTGCTGAGTCAAGTGGTGACAGTCGCGACCTTTACAAAAGGCTTCAGTGCTTGTATAAAGCTGCTCGGAAGACGGCCTGGACGCTAGTCATGTGTCGGTTGTAGCTACGATACTTTCCATACTTGTCGATGAAAGCAAATATATGATGTCGTGAGTGAAAGGCTAATAATGCAAACGTGTGTGGAATTGAAAGAGTAGTGCACGAATGTTTGTACCGACCTCAAACCCAGGTGAAATAATATCCCAAGCCTGGTGAATAAAGCCTGTTCCTCGGTCGAGTTCGATGGTCCCTCGCGGTGACGGCTCTCGGGGTTGCCGTGCTAAGACAAGTGCTGGCCATAGGACCGCTAATGGGCGTTTCAGCAAGACCATTTCGAGGCTTTCAATTACAAATATAGACGCTTTGTGCATCGATGGCTACCGTCACATTCGTTATAGACACCAGATCTTTCCTTTATTTACATTTATATTGTCATTTGTAAATACTATTATTACATTTTATCTAAAAACACACTATACTTGAATATAAAAATGTGGTCCCATTTAGAATACTACAAATTAGAAACGAAGATATATTTAGATCCATTTTTCATTATTCAAAATACAAATTTGAAGGTACAGTTTTGCAAGCGCTCTTTTATTACTAACAATTTATGCAACAGTGCAACGTATACTTGCATAGTATATGACAGGGTTTTCTGGCCATGTGTCGACGGACAAACTGCGATATTCTGTTTTTCTGCATTCTGTTGATCAAAGAATGCCAAATTTACGATCTAGTGCCTTTTGAAAATAACGTGACAACACCGTTAGAACATTGAGAACACGCCACGCCTGCCTTCCTTGTTGGAACGTATTCGTACTATATTTTTTCAATATTACCCTGACATACGCGGTCAGATGTGTGGACAACCATCATTGTCACGTTATGTGAATCCATGCCACTCAATACATGTCTGAAAGAATTGCGCGAGTTGACCGGGTTTGAGGTCGGTACAAACATTCGTGCAACTACTCTTTCAATTCCACACACGTTTGCAGTATTAGCCTTTCACTCACGACATCATATGTTTGCTTTCATCGACAAGTATGGAAAGTATCGTAGCTACAACCGACACATGACTAGCGTCCAGGCCGTCTTCCGAGCAGCTTTATACAAGCACTGAAGCCTTTTGTAAAGATCGCGACTGTCACCACTTGACTCAGCGACTTTTGATTCTCGTGCAAGTGATTCGAATTGGTAGTTTGAGTTCCACTGTCTCGCATTTGTTCCAAAGCGTTGAAACGTACGAATGACATCTGAAAGCTCTCTGCTCGATTCTGCTCCAGCACCTGACAGCCTCCTTGTATTCTTGCGCTACAATGTTCATTCCTCATTTTACTCTTTGGCAATAACATTGACCTACTTTTCCCATCGACGATGTTCTCGAAAAACTTGATGTTAGCCGGCATTCTCGCCGCAGGCCTCACGTCCGCTTATACCCTGCTCTCCACGCAGCACGAGGATACTATCTACTCGCTGCCGGAATCTGTCGAAATTACCAACACTCGTAGCTTAAGGATTGCATAGCGGCAGAGAGCCACGTTGACACTATACTTATTTAGAGTATATAGACTTTGCATATTTACATAATAGGAAAAGCAGTAATAGTGACTAGCACTAAGTATACGATAGGTGATTCTATGTTTAGTGTTAGAAGATAAACATAAATATAAATCAGTTTCAAACCTGCTCTATAAGCATCACTTCTTGAGCGTTCTGTTCCTCCTGAGAAATTAAGTATCTTTGATACTAGTCTCTATGAGAACCGGTTGTAACAACCGATAGGCGCAAGCTTACGAGCTAGTCTAGGAAGAGTTAAGCACCCTAAGACGTAGAAGCTCTCTGAGCTTGTCTTCCTCTGCACATAGTGCATAAGTAGCTTTGCTACAGTAGTTTGACTACATCCTCTGCACATAGTGCATAGGTAGCGTGGCTACAGTATCTTGGCTACACTTGGTAGCACTCGTAGTCAATCCCGCACCTGGGTTTGCGACTACGTATCTGTGTGAGAATGGACATCGATAGGATGTCAGCGGTTGGCCTGGCACAGGCACCCAGGAAGGGTTGCAGAAGCGGCTCCCTATCTTTGGCTCTAAGGGTGTGGAGTACCTCATCGCCCAGGGCGAAGAAGAGGTTAACAAGCGTATTCATATGCTTGATAACTATAACAAAGCTCTAGTCCAGCATGTAAAGGCACAGATGCCTCCTTCTGTACCTTCGTCCATGGCGACTATGGCGCAAGAAGTGGTCCGCAGACCAAAACCCATACAAATGGAAGTCAATAAGTTTGACGGCAAAGAAGTTGATAACCTTATACTTTGGTTCCGACAGGTTGTGTCGGCTATGTTTATAGCCGACATCACCTATGAACCGTACCGTGTGGGCTTTGCCACGGGCAAGTTAGGTGGCTTAGCCAAGCAGTGGGCATTCAAATGTGGTGCATCATTGCAATATGCTTTTCCAACATGGGCCAATCTGAAAGTTTAGATGACCCGGCAGTATGCACCGCCAAACCAAGCACACCGTAATTGTTCGCGGTGGTTGGCGTGTCGCCAAGCTTGAGCTTGCAGCATATGTACAAGAGTTGAGAGCTCGCATTACTGCCATGGTCATAGACCCTATGCCTGAGGCAGTGACCGTCACGGCCTTCATGAAGGGCCTCCGAGTTGGCGTTGCCCGAACGGAAGTCTTTCGGGTAAACCCGTCCTCATTCGAGGAAGCTGTTGGAGTGGCATGGAATGCCGAGACCAACTTTAAGGCCGCTAGGACTGCCACTTAAAACTACTCGCCTGATGGGTCTGCACCCATGAACTGTAGCCAAGTGGAGGATGAAGAAGCTGAGCTTCAAGCTGCGGAGAAGCAAATTGTGCGCAAATGTTGTATCTGCAAGAGCACAGGTCATTTGATGGCAAAATGCCCTACAAGAAACGCGTATTTGGCCTCGAAGGGCCGACCCCCATAGGTAAACCTTCTGGTTTGCCGCGGAAAAACGGCGAAAACCAGTAGGCGCGGGGCGCCCTACTGGGGAAGAACTGAGTTCTGTTGAACCTCTAGGAGGTAGAAGTAAACAGGGCTTAACCTCAAAGAGATCCGAACTCTTAAAACGGAACGAGAATGCAAGCCAGGGGTGTTAGTCGTTGAAGGGACGGTCAAGGGCTTTGATAAGCCATGGATCATTTTGATCGATTCTGGAAGGTAGTCAGCAGTATGCTGAAGCGCTTGTAGTGCGTGAAAGTGACACAGTCACAGTTCGCTTAGCGACGGGTACGCGTGTTACGGTACCCAAAGTCCAGATGGACTTGAATGTAAAATTCTTGGACTTTAACAGCATGGAGCGCTGTTTGGCTTAGACCTGGATGCGAGGTATGAACTCATCTTAGGCATGGCATGGCTAGAACGTCATGAGCCTTGGATTGATTGGAGGTCGAAGATCTTAGGCGCAACGCGCACGCTCCTGGTGGGGCTCTGGAGAGTCATGAACCCACCTCTGCTAGGAAGCAAAAGTATTTTTGGCGCGGATATTGGACCGAGTCGGTCAATATGTTGGATGTAGGAATATCCCACTTCGTAGACACTGTAAGTGTCGAGGACAATAGTCCTGGGCGAGGCCCAATGACTGTCAATAGTGTGGTTGACAACCCACTAGATGGCACATATGACATGTGTCATGAGAATGATGTTACATCATTAAACACCGTGAGTGGTGTTGGTGGCTGCAAGCCAAGATGTCAGGACGTGAGTCCAAGTGACATGAGTGACGAGGAACTGACCCTGGACGTCCGGGTGAAGTCATCCTTGGATGTTATCTTTGAGGACAACGAGGTGCATGCACTCAACGACGAGGTACTGGCCCAAAAGGGTCGGGTGAAGTCAAAATGACGGTTGTCTTTGAGAACAACGAGGTGCGAACACCTCATGACGAGGCATTGACCCAAGAGGGTGGGGTGCAGCCAGTAAACGAAGTGGTCTTTGACCTTGAGGTGTGTAAACCTATGGACGCTGATGCGTCGGATGCTGAGAGCACCATGAGTAGCGATGATGATATCGTGAGTGACGGTGATAGCGAACAGCTATACACTCGTCAATGGTTTGACTGGGGATGTTGAAGAGCCGGTGGCTCTTTCCGCTATATCCGAAGTAATTACTCTGTTAGAGCTGGACGAGTTGTCCTTTGCCGAGTTTGTCAGTGCCTTACAGACAGGCGACATCGCTGAAGTGGTCGTTATGCGACCTGAGGAGGAGTTGAACACCTCATCGCTTTTGGATAAAGCAGTTCTTGAGGATATCAAGAAGGCGCTGAATGCGCGCAGTGGATCGCAGATCCTGAAGGACCCTTCGGATCCTTGTTTTCCTTTGTTGAAGGAATATGGAGATGTTGTCTCCAGAGAATCTCCTACTTTGGATAGAGGTGTACGTCATGAGATTGACTTGGTTCTAGGAACCAAATACTGCGTGACGCGACAGTGGCCGCTGCCACGAGAACAATGTGAAGTCATTGACGAGTTCTTTGGTGCAAAGCACGCATCTCGCATGGTTCGTGTGAGTCAGTCTCCTCACTCTACGCCCACGTTTTGTGTGAAGAAGCCTAATGGGAAGTGGCGAATAGTGCATGCTTACAATAAGCTGAATGCAGCCACTATCCCGGCTCAAACACCGATTTATCGCAAGGATGTTCTTCAAAACAATATGTTGGGATGTACAATGTACAGTGACCTCGACTTATGTCGATGGATATTACCAACTGCTCATGCGAGCTAGTGATATCCCGCTGACAGTGGTCAGTACTCCGAGCGGTATGCTTTGGGAGTGATTAGTGATGCCCCAAAGGCTGTCTAACGCACCTGCAACGTTAAATCGTCTGGTGACGCAGTTGATAGGCCCCATAGGACGTATGCACAGACATAATTTTCGATATATTCGTTCATAGTCGAGCCGAAAATGGACAGACTGATGTGGAGAATCACATCGAGCACCTGCGAGCTGTGCTCGGTTGCATGAGGATGCATAAGTTGTATGCCAAGATTGACAAATGCATCTTCGGTGCGGAAGAGATTCTCTTTTTGGGATGCTTTATTGGGTAGCGAGGAATCCGGGCGAACACTGTTAAGGTCAAAGCCATAGTGGATTGGCCGGTTCCGAGGCCTGAAGGACCTCCGCAAGTGGTTGTGTTTGTCAAATGACTTGCATAAGTATAGTCACAACTATGCGGAGGTGGCTCGGCCATCATCGAATCTCCTTAAAAAGGATGTGGAATGGTGTTGGAGCACCGAACACCACGAGACTTTTGGAGCCATTAAGGAGAGTCTCCTTCAGGTGCCGATTGTAGCTCTGCCTGATCCTGATAGCCCGTTTAGCGTCGTGTGTGACGCGTCGGGCTTTGCCATTAGCAGTGCACTTTTGCAAGTTGACTCTGAGGGTCGAGAACGCGTCATCGCGTTTGAGTCTCGCCAGCTGAAAGCTGCAGAGAAGAACTATCCAGTTCATGCCAAGGATCTACTTGCGATGAAGTATGGCTTTGTTAAGTTCAGGGTACACCTGTTGGGCTCAAAGCCGTTTGTGATCTATACCGATCATACGTCATTACGCACAGCGACACAGTCGCCTCATCTCTCGCAGAAAATAGCTCATTGGCTCTCCTTTTCGCGGAGTATAGCTTCGAGGTGAATTATAAGCCGGGAAAACAGAATGTTTTGGCTGACGCGATATCGCGTAGACCTGACTATGAGCTTGTTCATCTCACTGTTGTCAGTTCGTCAGTAACGGATCGTATCCGTGTGGCAAATGCACGCAATGAGGCATATGTTGCCATTCGGTAAGCGCTGGGTAGCGCAGAGTTTGAAAACTCTTAGGTGAAGCCGTCACGCGTAATCGTGCGAGATTACATCGTTATGCACTGACCGATGGTCTGTTGTACTATAGTACAGGGTCGGATGACTAGCCTCGTGTTGTGGTGCCTCATGATGAGGACCTCAAGTATCAAATACTTTACGAGGCTCATGATACACCACTTGGTGGTCATTTAGGTCGTGAGAAGACCTAAAGCTCGGTGAGAACGCATTATTGGTGGCCCAAGTTGTACAAATTGGCTGACACCTACGTACGCACGTGTGAAACGTGTCAAAGGGTGAAGCTCTCGCCTAGTATGGCTGCGCCTTTGGCGAGTTTGCCTGTACCCCCGGGATTGTGGCAGTACATTAGTATGGACGTTGTGTTTGGCCTACCGCGTGATGCGGCAGGCAACACTGGGATTGTGGTCTTTGATGACCGACTGAGCAAGACGGCTCACTTAGCGGCAGTGCCGGACTCCATCGACGGAGAAGGAACAGCAAAGCTGTTTATGGATCGTGTGTTTCGACAACACGGATTGCCTGTGGCAATCGTCTCGGATAGAGACCCCCCGTTTTACGGGTACAATTTTGGACGTCAGTCTTTAAAGTGCTGGGCACTCGACTGGACATGTCCACGGCAGATCATCCGCAGACCGGCTGAACGCGTCAATCGCGTTATTGGTGACATGCTTTGCAGTGTTTGTGCTGAAACACCCAAGCAATGGAGCACGATGCTCTCTCTCATAGAGCTTGCGTTGAACAACGCGGTGGATGCCTCGACAGGCTTCACCCCATTCTACGTAAATAGTTTGGTTAACCCTCGCGTTCCTTTATCGCTGCCCCCCTGCCGCTTCAGGGCTTATTGGGGGGGAGATAGCCGAAGGCTTAGCTGATATCAGTCATGTTGCTATGCGCAAAAAGGTGGAAGCGTTTCTGTCAACGCGTTTTGACGTTTTACGTCGCGTCAAAGACGCTATGGCTGAAAGCCAGGATGTTTAGAAGCAACACGCGGATGCCAAAGGCAGGAAGGACGACCAAGAGTTCAAAGTGGGAGATTTAGTTTTATTTAACGCTAGGAATTTACCTACCCGTGCAGTGTCTGCAATATATACAAAAACTAAATTACGACCACGTTTTATTGGACCTTGCAAGGTCATAAGCAAGAAAGGCTTAGCCTATACGCCGAACCTACCCAAAAAGATGCAAACACAAGGAGGCGGGTATTACGGCATATGGACGCTGAAGGCAAACCCGGAGGTTAATCGGACATCGACGTCGGCTTGAGAACGCTCAATCGCCGTTTAGCGATCCGAGGTCTCAGAGCGATAACGATCAAAGGACCGACGTTATCGATCGACACGGTCATCGAGCGATGACAGGTGAGACCTCACCGATGCAAGGGCATCACGCTCCAGGAGTGTCAGGCGACGCTCAATCTCAGAGAGATCAGAGGTCAATGGGTCATCGACCTCCTCCGACGCTTATTGGTGAACTAGGTCATCAACAGCTCCCCGTGGAACTCCTCTTGGCCCGGCGTCGTCACCAGGGTCATACCCAATACTTGGTGAAGTGGAGGGGTTAGCCCCAGTCGTATGACTCGTGGGAGTATGAGGCAACCTTCCGGTAGGATTGCCCTGATGCCGTTGACGTTTTTGACCAGGACGGTCAGAAGCGACGACAGCTGTCGTCGGACGCTTCCTAGCACTGGTGCTGTGGAAGTAGGGTCAGTAGACTGGCTTTGCCTCTGACCTTCAGAAGAAGCCAATGACGGTACATCACTCGAGTGAGATGTACGGGCAACAGCTTTAGAAGCTTGTCCTCCACAAGTCTTTGACCTGCATGCGGAAGGTAATTATCGTATCGCTTTGAGTTTAGCAAAGTTAAAATGTAGACGACGTTCTAACCAAACGTCTTGCGCTTTAGCGCTTAAACGCAAGTTTGACAAACCTGAGATCTTACATGCTCGTTTTATTCAACGGGTGGGCTAATGATCATCTTGTGCAAATGTTTCACCTGGTGCAATCACCACTGGTATGCCGTTCAGTGGGTGCACAGGCACCCCACGTGACTATCGTGACAGTCGCTCCTGATACGATTTCATCGTAAAGTCCTGGGGAGTAAGAAGCGGCTCACGAAGAACAACACTATCTGCATTCTCGCAGGCTGTACGGGCATGGGACTTAATGACATAGGTTCGCAAAGATTTCTATGCAGCTCGTCATGCTTCCTCGTTGGGACCCCGTGGCACGAACCCATAATCACGTCGTGAAAATGTTTGTTTGGGCCGACCTCTACCTCCACGGTTGCTGTGTGTCGTGATGTCTAGACGATAAGACCGACGAAAAGGTCAGAAGTACATGGTAATCTACGTGTTCAGCAAGTCAATCACAATCCTGTGAGGCAGCAAGTAGACTCGATTGAGCGGTTTATTTGACCCCAATCCGTACGGTAACAGGCAGCATTACGGAATTGCAATGCCAGAAGTGTGATAAAGCTACTCTCTCAACTACAGCGGTCCAGTCCCTCGCACAATATAGTTCGTTTACAATAAATTAGCGGCAAAAGCTCGACGTCTACTTGCTACACTCGATCACAAGTTGGTCCGTAGTGGATGAACCGCCGCATGGAAACGCTTGAAGAGCGATACTAGCCGTTCTTGTTCGTTGGAAAGGCGATAAGAAGTTCACAGGTAATCGATCTTCAAGGGTCATTTTCAGCTCAACAGACACGACAGACTCAAGGCAGGGAGGGACAGCTGGCGCACGTCTACCAGTGAAGGGTTGCCTGTGACATAAGTACGTACCGTCATATCCCTTTCGAAAAAGTCTTAGGCCAAAGGGTCTTTCATTTCAGACTACAAATCTGGTCTCATTCCCAGTCAGACACAGACGAGTTTCAAAATTCAGGTGGCAACATGGCTCCAGGGTGTCAAGATTGAAAAGTCATTTGCCATCTGAAGACAAAAAGCATCCTGAGTCTACAACTTTCTCGAAACGACTATTTCCAGCTATTCACGAAGAACTGGCAAGCTGCAGTGGGTTTCGGTTGATCCAAAGGTCTTGTAACGCATGATATCTTGACATGCTGAAAGGGCTTTTCATACTCTCGGCATGAACCGATCGATCCGCTAGTCGTTTTGCTTGAAACCTGCTGATAGAAGCTCATTCTCAATTTCTTTGTTGACGACAACATCAGTCTTCACTTATAACTGTCTACCAATGTACTCGAAAATCTTGATTCTAGTTGGCATTCTCGCCGCAGGTATTGCGTCCGCCGATGTACCGCTCTCCGTCGAGCACGATGTCACCTACGCATTGGCAGAATCTGTCGGAATCTCCAGCACTCGTAGCCTGAGAGCCATGACCGAACAGACCGCGATGAGTGTCACGGCGTCGTCCGTGTGCGACACTATGTCTGAAAAAAGCGGTGGGCTTTTGGACTTGCTCGTCTTGCTGGATCTTACTCTGATTGGTGCCACAGATGCTAAAGATTTCCAAGCGTGCTGCAACGCGTGCGTGGACTCCGATATTTGCATTGCGTTCAACTTCCGACTACTGGACATCAACGCTTGCTTGCTGATAGGTTCTTTATCGGGCCGAACGGGAAGCCTTCTCAGCTTGCAGGCTGCTTTGAACATACTGTAAGCACGTGATCAGGTTCGCATCCAGACGGATGGCTGAGTATCAACCTGAACAAGGTGCACTGCTCATAACCTGGGACCCATTCTAGGCAAATTACACTGTAGCCACCGACAGCTCGCAATTGTTCCAGGTAGAGGCGTATCCGGTACATTGCGCGTCTTACATTGACACGACAGAGGTTCTAGCACGACAACGAAAACTACGTGTAAAAATAAACACATTTTTTTCGGATGTAGCCGTAGTTGTTATCTACTGCGTTCAGTTCAATAAGATCGATCGAATGTTAACACTTTCGACTCGTTTATTCAGTCAGATCAGCGCATTGTTGTCACGGGGTTACAGCACGTACCAATAGTCAGTATTCTCGTCTAACTAGAACCCTCTTCAAATTCCAATTATTGCATCGTGCAACTCATAGTACTGCCGTATAATGATGGAGTTTTGGTTGTTTGAATGACAAGGAAACAAACACGTTTGGAAACATGACTTCTGTCCGTCTGAGGCGATTGAAGCGTGAGGCGTGTGTTCATTGCGTAGATAATGTCATACCAGTAGAATCCAGTATGTGAAAAGACAAGATGTGTAGATGGTTTTTGCTTACTCTGTATCGAGGATTGTTGCAAATTACTCCAGCATCTTTATAGTCCCATTCCTACATCATCTACCTCTACCTCCACGGTTGCTGTGTGTCGTGATGTCTAGACGATAAGACCGACGAAAAGGTCAGAAGTACATGGTAATCTACGTGTTCAGCAAGTCAATCACAATCCTGTGAGGCAGCAAGTAGACTCGATTGAGCGGTTTATTTGACCCCAATCCGTACGGTAACAGGCAGCATTACGGAATTGCAATGCCAGAAGTGTGATAAAGCTACTCTCTCAACTACAGCGGTCCAGTCCCTCGCACAATATAGTTCGTTTACAATAAATTAGCGGCAAAAGCTCGACGTCTACTTGCTACACTCGATTACAAGTTGGTCCGTAGTGGATGAACCGCCGCATGGAAACGCTTGAAGAGCGATACTAGCCGTTCTTGTTCGTTGGAAAGGCGATAAGAAGTTCACAGGTAATCGATCTTCAAGGGTCATTTTCAGCTCAACAGACACGACAGACTCAAGGCAGGGAGGGACAGCTGGCGCACGTCTATCAGTGAAGGGTTGCCTGTGACATAAGTACGTACCGTCATATCCCTTTCGAAAAAGTCTTAGGCCCACGGCTCTTTCATTTCAGACTACAAATCTGGTCTCATTCCCAGTCAGACACAGACGAGTTTCAAAATTCAGGTGGCAACATGGCTCCAGGGTGTCAAGATTGAAAAGTCATTTGCCATCTGAAGACAAAAAGCATCCTGAGTCTACAACTTTCTCGAAACGACTATTTCCAGCTATTCACGAAAAACTGGCAAGCTGCAGTGGGTTTCGGTTGATCCAAAGGTCTTGTAACGCATGATATCTTGACATGCTGAAAGGGCTTTTCATACTCTCGGCATGAACCGATCGATCCGCTAGTCGTTTTGCTTGAAACCTGCTGATAGAAGCTCATTCTCAATTTCTTTGTTGACGACAACATCAGTCTTCACTTATAACTGTCTACCAATGTACTCGAAAATCTTGATTCTAGTTGGCATTCTCGCCGCAGGTATTGCGTCCGCCGATGTACCGCTCTCCGTCGAGCACGATGTCACCTACGCATTGGCAGAATCTGTCGGAATCTCCAGCACTCGTAGCCTGAGAGCCATGACCGAACAGACCGCGATGAGTGTCACGGCGTCGTCCGTGTGCGACACTATGTCTGAAAAAAGCGGTGGGCTTTTGGACTTGCTCGTCTTGCTGGATCTTACTCTGATTGGTGCCACAGATGCTAAAGATTTCCAAGCGTGCTGCAACGCGTGCGTGGACTCCGATATTTGCATTGCGTTCAACTTCCGACTACTGGACATCAACGCTTGCTTGCTGATAGGTTCTTTATCGGGCCGAACGGGAAGCCTTCTCAGCTTGCAGGCTGCTTTGAACATACTGTAAGCACGTGATCAGGTTCGCATCCAGACGGATGGCTGAGTATCAACCTGAACAAGGTGCACTGCTCATAACCTGGGACCCATTCTAGGCAAATTACACTGTAGCCACCGACAGCTCGCAATTGTTCCAGGTAGAGGCGTATCCGGTACATTGCGCGTCTTACATTGACACGACAGAGGTTCTAGCACGACAACGAAAACTACGTGTAAAAATAAACACATTTTTTCGGATGTAGCCGTAGTTGTTATCTACTGCGTTCAGTTCAATAAGATCGATCGAATGTTAACACTTTCGACTCGTTTATTCAGTCAGATCAGCGCATTGTTGTCACGGGGTTACAGCACGTACCAATAGTCAGTATTCTCGTCTAACTAGAACCCTCTTCAAATTCCAATTACTGCATCGTGCAACTCATAGTACTGCCGTATAATGATGGAGTTTTGGTTGTTTGAATGACAAGGAAACAAACACGTTTGGAAACATGACTTCTGTCCGTCTGAGGCGATTGAAGCGTGAGGCGTGTGTTCATTGCGTAGATAATGTCATACCAGTAGAATCCAGTATGTGAAAAGACAAGATGTGTAGATGGTTTTTGCTTACTCTGTATCGAGGATTGTTGCAAATTACTCCAGCATCTTTATAGTCCCATTCCTACATCATCTACCTCTACCTCCACGGTTGCTGTGTGTCGTGATGTCTAGACGATAAGACCGACGAAAAGGTCAGAAGTACATGGTAATCTACGTGTTCAGCAAGTCAATCACAATCCTGTGAGGCAGCAAGTAGACTCGATTGAGCGGTTTATTTGACCCCAATCCGTACGGTAACAGGCAGCATTACGGAATTGCAATGCCAGAAGTGTGATAAAGCTACTCTCTCAACTACAGCGGTCCAGTCCCTCGCACAATATAGTTCGTTTACAATAAATTAGCGGCAAAAGCTCGACGTCTACTTGCTACACTCGATTACAAGTTGGTCCGTAGTGGATGAACCGCCGCATGGAAACGCTTGAAGAGCGATACTAGCCGTTCTTGTTCGTTGGAAAGGCGATAAGAAGTTCACAGGTAATCGATCTTCAAGGGTCATTTTCAGCTCAACAGACACGACAGACTCAAGGCAGGGAGGGACAGCTGGCGCACGTCTATCAGTGAAGGGTTGCCTGTGACATAAGTACGTACCGTCATATCCCTTTCGAAAAAGTCTTAGGCCAAAGGGTCTTTCATTTCAGACTACAAATCTGGTCTCATTCCCAGTCAGACACAGACGAGTTTCAAAATTCAGGTGGCAACATGGCTCCAGGGTGTCAAGATTGAAAAGTCATTTGCCATCTGAAGACAAAAAGCATCCTGAGTCTACAACTTTCTCGAAACGACTATTTCCAGCTATTCACGAAGAACTGGCAAGCTGCAGTGGGTTTCGGTTGATCCAAAGGTCTTGTAACGCATGATATCTTGACATGCTGAAAGGGCTTTTCATACTCTCGGCATGAACCGATCGATCCGCTAGTCGTTTTGCTTGAAACCTGCTGATAGAAGCTCATTCTCAATTTCTTTGTTGACGACAACATCAGTCTTCACTTATAACTGTCTACCAATGTACTCGAAAATCTTGATTCTAGTTGGCATTCTCGCCGCAGGTATTGCGTCCGCCGATGTACCGCTCTCCGTCGAGCACGATGTCACCTACGCATTGGCAGAATCTGTCGGAATCTCCAGCACTCGTAGCCTGAGAGCCATGACCGAACAGACCGCGATGAGTGTCACGGCGTCGTCCGTGTGCGACACTATGTCTGAAAAAAGCGGTGGGCTTTTGGACTTGCTCGTCTTGCTGGATCTTACTCTGATTGGTGCCACAGATGCTAAAGATTTCCAAGCGTGCTGCAACGCGTGCGTGGACTCCGATATTTGCATTGCGTTCAACTTCCGACTACTGGACATCAACGCTTGCTTGCTGATAGGTTCTTTATCGGGCCGAACGGGAAGCCTTCTCAGCTTGCAGGCTGCTTTGAACATACTGTAAGCACGTGATCAGGTTCGCATCCAGACGGATGGCTGAGTATCAACCTGAACAAGGTGCACTGCTCATAACCTGGGACCCATTCTAGGCAAATTACACTGTAGCCACCGACAGCTCGCAATTGTTCCAGGTAGAGGCGTATCCGGTACATTGCGCGTCTTACATTGACACGACAGAGGTTCTAGCACGACAACGAAAACTACGTGTAAAAATAAACACATTTTTTCGGATGTAGCCGTAGTTGTTATCTACTGCGTTCAGTTCAATAAGATCGATCGAATGTTAACACTTTCGACTCGTTTATTCAGTCAGATCAGCGCATTGTTGTCACGGGGTTACAGCACGTACCAATAGTCAGTATTCTCGTCTAACTAGAACCCTCTTCAAATTCCAATTACTGCATCGTGCAACTCATAGTACTGCCGTATAATGATGGAGTTTTGGTTGTTTGAATGACAAGGAAACAAACACGTTTGGAAACATGACTTCTGTCCGTCTGAGGCGATTGAAGCGTGAGGCGTGTGTTCATTGCGTAGATAATGTCATACCAGTAGAATCCAGTATGTGAAAAGACAAGATGTGTAGATGGTTTTTGCTTACTCTGTATCGAGGATTGTTGCAAATTACTCCAGCATCTTTATAGTCCCATTCCTACATCATCTACCTCTACCTCCACGGTTGCTGTGTGTCGTGATGTCTAGACGATAAGACCGACGAAAAGGTCAGAAGTACATGGTAATCTACGTGTTCAGCAAGTCAATCACAATCCTGTGAGGCAGCAAGTAGACTCGATTGAGCGGTTTATTTGACCCCAATCCGTACGGTAACAGGCAGCATTACGGAATTGCAATGCCAGAAGTGTGATAAAGCTACTCTCTCAACTACAGCGGTCCAGTCCCTCGCACAATATAGTTCGTTTACAATAAATTAGCGGCAAAAGCTCGACGTCTACTTGCTACATTCGATTACA